TTTTTTTTTTTTTTTTTTTTTTTTGAGGCAGAGGCAGAGTCTTGCTCTGTCGCCTAGGCTAGCGTGCAGTGGCGGGATCCCGGCTCACTGCAACCTCTGCCTCCCAGGTTCAAGCGATTCTTCTCCCTCAGCCTCCTGATTAGCTGGTATTACAGGCGTGCACCACCATGCCCCGCTATTTTTTTTGTATTTTTTAGTAGAAACGGGGTTTCACCATGTTGGGCAGGCTGGTCTTGAACTCTTCATCTCAAGTGATCCACCTGCCTCGGCCTCACAAAGTGCTGGGATTACAGGCGAGAGCCACCGTGCCCAGCCTCTTTTTGTTTTACAACACCTGGTATTTACCTTTTTCACAGCCTTGTTCATACCTTGTGGTGGTTACCTGTTTCCCTGCCCCTCTGCTAAATAGTTTGTGAGCTTATCAGGAGTGGAGACTAAGTCTGATTCATTTCACTGTCCTCACTGCCCAGCCCGGTATCTTACTGAGTAGCTACCTGGTAAATCTTTCTTAGATGGATAAGTAGGAGCCCCTCTCCTGTTTGACCTCCTTTTCGCCTCTCTTTTCCCCCTCTCTCCAAAGGCAGGAAGTTTCTGTGTTCTTTTTTAAGAACCCATTCTTGTGTCAGGTTTGGGACTATAGTTATGGTTGCACCATCCCTGCTGGAGACCCCTGGCTGGGGCAGGCCCATGACTCTGGGAGATGGCTGACCCTGTGTGGCCAGGATGGACTTGGCCATAACTGGCTGGAGTGTGTTAATCCACAGGCTCAGGGGCAAGGAGGGCCACCTGGACCACTGGAATGTTGTGCACAAACAGAAGTCCTTGTGCTGCGCATGGAAGCTCATTAAGGGCTTCCAGGTGCCTTTGTCATCTCTAGAAATCCAGCCACATCTTCCTGGGGTGTGGGCCCTGATGACGGGGCTGGCCGGGTATTCCCTTGTCACCTCTTCCTCCCCTCCTGTCCTGCTACTCACCTAGGATTTGCTGAGGGCCTCTCAGTTGTACATAATCTCCGTGCTGATCTCTTCCCCTTCTGTGACTGGCGACAACTTCCCCCAGTATATGGTACGTTATTTACAAAGCTTCTTTAGGTCCTGAAACTCCTCTGAACCTCTTGACAGCTCTGTCCGGTAGATCAACATATCCCCCATTCCATAGGAAACTGAGACTGAGACTGATATCGGACAGCAAGTTTGTGACAAAGCTGGGGTTGGAATCCAGAGCTCTTGCCTTCCAAACCTTGTGCTTACAACTTTGCCAGAGATGCTTCTCCTCTGGCTTTCCTAGGGGATGGGTTCCACCCCTTGCCTGAGCTGGGGAAAAATGGCCTTAGGGACAGGTGGGCCCCTATGTCTGGTCTCTGATACCCCAGATCCTATAAATTCCTGGGCAGGCCTGTGTTCCCAAGGAGCAGGCTTGGGATCCTGTAGTTTGCAGCCCTGTTGCTGGGTCAGGCTGGCTGCTTCTGGTAGCCAGCAGAGGGCGTAAGGGGCCCAGGAAAGGTCTGCTGCTTCTGGTTGGTTTTGTTTTGAAATGAAAATTATGTTTTAAGAGGTTATGTGGTCATTATTTTTTTTAATCCAAAAATATGCATTTGTACAGGTTCATTTAAGTTGAACCTTCACGGTGCCAGATGTGCTTTGGAATTTAGGAAAAATTCAGAATTTATGAAACTCACCTGGTGTGTATACTTTGTATTACGTAACACCTCCAGCAGGGTCTGAGGCAACACCTCATAATCAAACACCTGTATGTTTTCTGCATTGAAATATTTGAATATTCACCCCAAGTGGGATAGATTCTTGTCAGTTCTGGTCAGGTTATGATGCCAAATGAATTCGCTAAAGGCTTTTGATTTTCAAAGCTTTTTGGGTTTAGTGTACCTTTATAAAAGGAAAGTGCAGTGAAATCGCTGGTAACACCAGGACTTAGGGATAATATTTTGCTGTCTAGCTTTCCCAATTTTGTGTATGTGTGTTTGTATACATGCATATGTATATGTGTGTAGATGTCTATCTGTTAAATGTGTTCAGTCACAGATGAGAATATTGTTTGCACACTTTTGCCTTCTAGAGTATATCTTTTTTTTTTTTTTTTTTGAGATGGAGTTTCACTCTTGTTGCCCAGGCTGGAGTGCAATGGTGTGATCCCGGCTCACTGCAACCTCTTGCCTCCTGGGTTCAAGTGATTCTTCCGCCTCAGCCTCCCGAGTAGCTGGGATTACAGGCATGCACCACCACGCCCGGCCAATTTTGTATTTTTATTAGAGACGGGGTTTCTCTTTGTTGGTCAGGCTGGTCTCAAACTCCCGACCTCAGGTGATCAACCCACCTTGGCCTCCCAGAGTGTTGGGATTACAGGCGTGAGCCACCGCGCCCAGCCTACAGCATATCTTGGAATCATCTAGCCCTTTGTCAGGTTCAGGATCTAGGCTCTTGCCAGTTACTCCCTCTTCACCACCTTTCCTAGATGAAATTCCTTAAGGTAGAGCCACATTCTCCACCCAGGCACTTGCTGGGTCTGAGTCTCTGGCTGCCTGGGGCAATGTGGCTCCCTGGGCCAGGCCCTGCAAGGTCAGCAAAAGTCATAAGGCAGATGGGGCCACTGTTCTCAGGGCACCTGGGACCCTTTTGGAAGCAAGCCTTAGTTTCACTCAGCAACTGATTCCCTAAAAGAGTCTCCTACTTCACATGCATGGAGTGGTCACACAGGGCTGAGAACTTTACTTTGGCCAGCGTCCTCTCTGTCAATGACCTAGGCCTCTCGGGAGCTTGAGGTCGGGGCCCTGGGGATGGAGTGTAGGTTTTCCCTGTTGCTGACCCCCACCTCTTCCCTCCAGCAGGAGCATTGGTTTGAAAAGGCCCTACGAGACAAGAAGGGCTTCATCATCAAGCAGATGAAGGAGGATGGCGCCTGTCTCTTCCGGGCTGTAGGTGAGTCTCTGCCTTAGTCCTTAAGGGCCTAGGGCTGCCCCTAAGCTGTGTCCCAGTTACCAGGAATAGCCCCTGAGACAGGGTTGAGGCAGAGCTAGCTAATCTTTTAGGGACTCCAGGCTCCAGCCTCAAGTTGGTATCTGACCTCTAGCCGTGGGTCTTGAGACGTTGTAGTGGTGCAAGATTAATATGAATAATAACAGCAAGAAGAGTGATAAAGAAAGTAATATCCTTTGGGACACATTGGTCTGTCAGGTGCTACAGGAAACCTCTTTGATTCCCCCCTGAGCTAGGTGAGTGTAGGGACTATTGTTGCTTCCATTTGTCAGATGAGAAAAGTGGCTCCGAGATGGTGGGTGACTTGTCTGGAGTAAAATAATAAGTGGTAGACTTGGGATTCAGTGTCTGCATTAGATTAGTCTGAGGCCCATGCTCTTAACCATAGCACACTGCTGCCACCCTGGCTGTATGACCCCTAGGTTTATACCCAGATCCCATCTCTGGTGTGTTGCGGGTCTCTGTTCCTCAATCTGTGTATATGGGGGCTACCAAACTAGATCTTTACAAATTTCTTATGTCATAGAATTTTTTTTTCAACTTACATAAAAGTAGAATGATGAACCCTCATGTACCCATCATCCAGCTTCAAAATAGTCAACACGTGGCCAGCCTTGTTTCATCACTATCCCGCCCACTCTTTCTCACTCCCCTGAAAGAAGAGTATTTTTAAAGCAAAACCCCGACATTGGATCATTTTATTCGTAAATATTTCTGTATGTTTCTCTGACAGATACAGACTTACTCTTTTCTTTTTAACTTAATCAAAATGCCATTACTGCACCTAACAGAATTAATAATGCCTTAATACCATCAGTTATCCAGTCTGAGCTGGATCTTTGAGGCCATTTTGGCTCTGAATCTGTGACCCCACAAGTAGTTGTGAGGTCCTGTGCTAGGGTGAAGGGGAAGCTGGGAATGTGACCCTGATCCTCCCTTTGGTGCTCTGATACCTACCAAGGAAAAGTGCCCTCTGATAGGAGCTTTGAGCTGGGAGTCAGAAGACCTACCTTCTAGTTCTGGCCCTGACTCATAACTGCTGTGACACTTGGCCTTGGTCTTACCGTCTGTCAAATGGTGTTGATTCTCAATGCCTCTTTGAGTTCCTTCTTGGTCTGCTATTCTCTCTGTCTGTGGGTAACCCCCATGTCTACTGGTGGGCTGGAGTGTTTCAGGCTCCATCCCTGGCTGCACCCCTGATTCTTGGTATGACCTTAGGCAAGCAGCTCTTCTTTCCTGAGGCCGTTTCCTCATCTATAAAATGGGGCTAAAATACCCTAATGTTGTAACGATTTAATGAAGTTGCTTTGGTAAATCCCTTTAGTGCCTGACACATATAGTAGACCCTAATGGAACAGTAGCATTTGTAAAACCCAGAAGCCGTTTTCAGTGGTGCCTCAGAGTCACATGTGTTTGTTGAAAGGGTGGAGTGAGTGGTCTCCTCTCTATTCTGCCAAGCAGACGAGGCTCAGGCAGTGGGCTCTGTTGGACTGGGAAAAAACTTACCCCTCCTGCCCCTCTGTCTCAAGTTTGTGTTTTTCCTGGGATGTTTCCCAGAGGAAGAGCTGGGTTTCGGGGCATCTTGGACAAAAGAAAGGCAAAGAAATAATAGGTGGGGGCCTGTTAGGTGCGAGGCCCTGTGTCCAGACCTCAGGCTGGATGTGGGGTAAGCAGGGTTGCTGGTGGAGTTAGGATCAGAGAGTACAGCAGGCATCTGAGTCTTGGGCAGTCATTGAGGGTAAGCCTCGGGGCTGGCTAGTAAGGACCTGGCTTGTGTAGTAACTCATATCAAGAGCTCTGTGTGTGTGTGTGTGTGTGTGTGTATGTGTATGTATATGTATCTAGCTTTTCTCCCCAAATACCCCCGACTCTTGGGGCTACTTGGCTTGTTGTAGTAAGTCGTATCAAGAGCAGTATTTGTGTGTGTGTGTGTGTGTATCTGTGTATCTAGCTCTTCTCCCCAAATACTCCCGACCCTTCCTCCCACTGGGGCCTTCAGTATAAGGGGCCTCTACTTACAGGAAGAGCTGACCACAGCAGGTTGAAGGCCTTTCCTTATCGGGACTATGGCTACACATTTCCCCTGACTGGGCTGCCTTTGGCTTTTCTCTGTAAAACCTCAGAGGTCCTGTGGCCTCTCCCCCGAAGTACATGGCCCCTGGTCTCTAGACCTTATCTGGAGGTTTCCTTGGTGCAGAGTGCATAAATACATGTGCCTGGGAAGGGGACTTTGTCCCTGGGCTTTTTGCTGCCCGGCACCCCGCCCCCCACCCCCCGCCCCAGTTTCCAGCCTCGCCTGGATGGGGACAGATGGCAGTCAGCTTAGGTTGTAGTGTGAAGCCCTACGGGCTGACTTCCTGTCATGTGTTGAATAGTGGAAGGAACGTGGAGCAGAGAGTTGGAGTTGGAGGGGGGGATTGCAAACATAGAGGGCACTGTTTCCTTGACCCCTGCTTTGTGCTAGACATTCAGCTGGGTGCTTCAGGCTCACTTACAAAACTTAGATCATTATCCCGTGAGACAGGTGAAAAGATTGAAGCATAGAAAGGGGAATGACATGCTCAGGGCCATTAGCCAGAACTGGCCTGGGAACCTAGAGGTGTCCAAAGGACCCACATTCTTTTTTTTTTTTTTTTTTTGAGATGGAGTCTCCCTCTGTCGCCCAGGCTGGAGTGCAGTGGCGTGATCTCGGCTCACTGCAACCTCTGCCTCCCGGGTTCAAGCGATTCTTCTGCCTCAGCCTCCTGAGTAGCTGGGATTACAGGCGTGCACCACCACACCTGGTTAATTTTTGTGTTTTTTAGTAGAGATGGCGTTTCACCATGTTGGTCAGGCTGGTCTCGAGCTCCTGACCTTGTGATCCACCTACCTTGGCCTCCCAAAGTGTTGGGATTATAGGCGTGAGCCACCGCACCTGGCCAGGACACATTCTTTTTATGATCCTAGGATCCTTAGCTTCTTAGCTTGGTTGTCAACTGGCTGGATGACCTTGACTGTGTTCCTTGACATCTCTGGACCTTACCTCCTCCAAGTAGGAACACATGGCCCTCTGTTGTTGGGCCTCTTGAGGCAAGTGGGTTTCTGCCTTCTGTTCCCCTGGATTATCTTCCTATAGGGTCCTACCATTTGCTTTAGAGACTTCTGAGAATTGCCTACTCCCCAGGTAGCTGTCTGCCTGCCATTGGTTCCCCTGAGTGAACCAATATCCGTTGCTTGCACTCAGTTCTCTCCCACCTCCTCTTATTGGGGATTCATGAGCATCAGTGAAGGCTTGGGTGGAGGGGAGGTGGGAACCTGAGCCTCAGAGGTATCCTGTGGCCCACCCTGTCCCTGTTATGCTCAGATAACCTCCTCCTAGAAATGTGACTCTGCATCTCTCCCTTGCTCCCTCTCTCCATGTGGCTTTGACTCAGCAGAAACCTCTAACCCTGACCAGGGTCCTGGTGCTAGTTTCTGTGGGCAGAGTGGAGGCCACATGGTTGTTTCTACATGGGCCATGGGGGAGTGGCAAGGGCTGTGCATGTTACCATGATGAGGCCCAGAAACATTGGCTAGGCCCACTCTTCTGTGCCTTTTGGTCTTGGAACATGGACCATCAGCACTAGGAGGGGTGGATCTGAGGTCAATTTTGATTGTTTTATAAATGGGGAAACTGAGGCCTCAAGAGAAAGCCAAGACCCTATCCTGTCTAGGTCATACAACCAGTGTCAGAACATTGGTATTTGAGGTTGAACCAGGCCTCAGAAAGAAGATTCCCATGGGCCATTTCCTGTACACCAGCTTCCTTGTATCTCCCTTGTATCCTTCAGGTTTCTCATCCTTGCAGTGGGAATCGTTGAGCAGAGGAGCACACATCTCAGGAACCAGACTCTCCAGGGGGATGAGTTCTTCTGTCTCTCCCACTGAGGGTATGCTAGTTGGGGTAGTTGGGACCACAGACCAGGTCACACCACGGCTGCTTGACAGACAAGTGAGACCTTTGTCCTGGCTTATCTCCTCAGGAGATTTGTTCTCAGTGGGGCCAGGGTTCCACTGGACCAGGATGGTAGTGGGGAGCAGACCAGGTCCCTGTCTCCCTCTGCAGCTGTGTGTACACACATTTGTGTGGTTTGTTTTTAGGTTCCCTGTAGACACCTAGCTTCCTTTTTTGCCCTTAGCGGAACTTGCTGTGGCTCTTCTGGCAGGCAGGCAGCTACCTGGGGAGTAGGCGGTTCTCAGATGTCTCTAAAGCAAATGGTAGGACCCTACAGGAAGATAATCCAGGCTCTCATGTCTTGCTTCTTAACTTAAATCTGGGTACATTATTGGTTACATTACATTAGTTACATGAGGACTTCTCCCAGGCAGCAGAGGAGAGAGGTTGAGGCTAGTCTGTTAGAGCTCTTGGTTATTTTCCCTGCCCTCCACCTACCCTGCCAGAGGCTAGGAAGGAGGTTGATGGGGTAGGGGTTTCCTCAGTTTGTAGAGCCTCTTATCTTCAGTCTTTCCTGAAGTGGCAGGGGCATCTACTCATTGAATGTGATAGTTCTCTGTTGTGGGATTTATTGGGTGAGCATTTGACCTCAGGGAGCATCTTTGGCAGGCTCTGCTGTATGTGTATACACATGTGCATTTCTACACTGGTGTCTCTGTGTGTCCAGAAAAAGGAAAGAAGTAGGGTGTGTATGGGGACGGTAATGTTCATGTTGGCCTCTGTGGCCCTAGGGAGAGATACAGCCCCTGATATCTATAATCTCTGCCCACTCCCATGCCTTTCCTGAGTTCTAGCTATTCCTGCTTGTGCTGGTGTGGAAACTGAGGCACACAAGATCAGGTCCTGCCCCAGGGAGTAAGGCGACTAAGATGGTGGCTAGATTGGGGTGAGGGTGGTAATATCAGCTGGGGCCAGCAGTTACCCTTTGAGAGCCTGGCCTCCCCTTCACCCCGCTAAACGTGTGATCCCAGGCCAGCTTAGCCACATTTCTGTGTCTCCTGGGTAAAGTAAGAGTGTTTTGGTAAGGGTAGAATGAGTTGGAGTGTGAAAAGTCTTTGGTATGGGACCAATTGTAGTATTTTACTGAGGATTTCTGAGCCTAGTTGGAGATGGGAACAGAGGCAGAATGGTGGGGGACCCCCTTCCAGCTGGCCTTTGGGAAGGGAGAACAGGTGCAGATTGCCCACAAGTGCAGCGTCAGCAGGAGAAGTTTCAGTTTCTATCAAAACAAGTTCTCTGAATTCCCCTACCTCTGCAGGTCATCCCCCCAACCTCAGACCCCTCCACAGGGAAGTCATGCCTTGCCCCCAGCCCTGTGTGCCAGCCTTCTGGGAAGAGGAGGGCTTTCTGGAGGACAGAGGTGGAGCTAGGAAAGTCAGAAAAACGAATTTTTTTTTTTTTTTGAGACAGTTTCGCTCTTGTTGCCTAGGCTGTAGTGCAGTGGTGTGATCTTGGCTTATTGCAACCTCCACCTCCCAGGTTCAAGCGATTCTTCAGCCTCAGCCTCCCAAATAGCTGGGATTACAGGCATCTGCCACCACGCCTGGCTAATTTTTTGTATTTTTAGTAGAGATGGGATTTCACCATGTTGTCTAGGCTGGTCTCAAACTCCTGACCTCAGGTGATCCACCTGCCTTGGCCTCCCAAATTGCTGGGATTACAGGTGTGAGCCTCCACACCTGGCCAAAAATGAATTCTTGTTGACTACTTCCTATGTGTTTAGCTCTGTGCTTAGATGCTTTTCCTGCCTTATGTTATTGGAGAAATCCTATTCTCCCTTGTTGGGGTCCTACTATTGCTGTTTTCCTTGATTTGGAGATGTATATTTTCTTCCACATTAATGATTCCAAACTTAGGATATACCTTATAATCAGTGTGATATATTTCCCCACCAAAAGCTGTGATTAGGTACATGTTATACCATATCACCTATCAGTGGTGTCGTAGGATTGAGGAGAGAAGGTGGTATTTTACATTTTACAGATAAGGAAAGAAGTGTCATAACTTGTCCATAGTTTAGGACCCTGTTTTATGAAGCCTGTATTGTTAACTTGATATTAATTTAACTGCTGAAGTTTTGTTAGAACTAAGGGCCTAGAGGTAGACTTGTGGACCTTTGGTTTCACTAAAGGTAGAGAGCCAGGAGAGGACATGCATCCTAGGTCTGCATTTGGGGCTTTCCTCTGACTGAGCAATTGCAACAGAAATGAGGAAGGGCTTCATAAGTGGTTATGGCAACATTCTGGCTGACTTGTGGGTAACTAGCAATATGAAGGAATCATTGTCGTCATGACAAATGATGTTCTTGTTTCTTGACCACCTACTGTGCCTTAGGTGCTTGGCAAACCTCCTGTGTAGTTTTGACAACACCCAGCAAATGGAAGAGGAGTTACTGTCTCTACCTTATGCACGAGGACATTTCAGCTTAGAGAGGTTAAAGGCTTTATCCATTGCCACACAGCTAGGAGGCAGCAGAGCCTTTCTGCCAGGCCAAAGGGGTCAGTAGCAGAGAAATGGGACCCTCAGGGGGTTTTCCCCCAGATCCCTTCCCTGTTCCATGGTCTCCTCTCTTTCCCCCATTTTCCTGCATCTGGCATCTAGCTCTTGAAGATAGAACTCCCAGGCCTGGAAATGACAATTGACCTTTCCATAGGAGATGGGCTTTCTCCATCACCTCAGCCTATCTCTCTGAGCCTGGCCAACCAACCCCTATTTAACCCCTTCACGCTCATCTTTGTTCCTGTTTACTGCAGCTGCCAACAGCACTGCCTCCCAGTACCCCAAGCTCAGCCTACAGAAATAGCTCCTCAAGCAGCTCACTGTGCGGGCTTTGTGGTCCTGGCTTCTAAGAAAGGCAGCAGCAGGGGGCCCCCAGCCTGTGCGCAGGACATGTGACTTGCTGGAAATGCCGCTGGGGAGGGCGGGGGAGAGTGTGGCCGCAGAACCCACATCCTTGTTTACATTGGTGAAGGGGCTACCCCCTTCCCGCCTTCACAACCTCCACACCCCCTTACCCTTCAGGTCTCTTCACCTCCAAGAGGACAGGAGGCAAACATGGGCCCTATTTTCTATCTCAGAGTAGCCTTTCTCACAGAGCCCTCCAGAGTAGGAAGGGGAAGGCAGGGAAGGCGTTCTTCTGACAGTTCTTCAGAGAGGTAGACTGACAGGGAAGAACTCGGGAGTGTTCCTGTGTGACCTGACCCTAGCCCAGTGCCCTAGGGAGATCCCATCAGAGCAGTGGTCCTCTGGGGAAACAAAGGGAAATTCCCTAAACCAGTGGAAATCAGACTTGCATGATCTTCAGGCCCACTTTAATTTCACAGGGAGAAGAGCTCTCTGGCTTACCCAGCCTATCCATTTGCTCAATAAACTTTTCCTGATTTCCTTTACTGTATCGGGCCCTGAGCCTGGGGGTGGACTTTGGTGTGAACTGCCCTTTGCCTTCAGTGGGAGCCCAGTGCAGTTGGGCAGAAGTCTATGCACACCTCTGATAAATCTGGTGATAGAGGTGTCCTGGGTAGTGGGGAACTGTATTAAAGAACATGTTGGGCCAGGCGCGGTGGCTCACACCTGTAATCCAGGCATTTTGGGAGTCTGAGGCGAGAGGATCGCTTGAGCCCAGGAGGTCAAGGCTGCAGTGAACTATGATCGCGCCACTGCACTCCAGCCTGGGCGATAGAGCGAGACCTTGTCTCAAATAAATAAATAAATAAAGAACACATTGGTGTTTGAGAAGTAGGCAGCTGACGAGGATGGAAGGAGCGTCCTGAAGAGAAGGAACGGCATGTGTGAAGATCCTCAAGCGAAGCAGAGGGAGTGTGTTTCCTTCTCGCCTTAGTTTGACCAAATCTCACGACGCCTGGACTATTCGGGCCACAGGCTGCCCATCCTGAGTTAAGCTAAAGTTAGTTGCATGTGTGTCTTATTTCTTTTACTAGACTGTGTGCTCCCCGAAGGTAGGGGCAGGATTTTACTCACCTCTGTCACCTTCACAGTACCCCACATTCAGGCCTCCCTATGGAGGAAGGAATTCCGATTTAGTGTGTGGCTACTCTGTCCCAAGCCCAGTGGTAGTTATTTTATACCCATTATCTCATTTAATCCCCACCATTAAGGCCTGCCATGTGGTTATCCGTTTTTTTTTTTTTTTTTTTTTTTGACACAGTTGGAGACAGAGTCTCACTCTGTTGCCCAGGCTGGAGTGCAGTGGCATAGTCTCAGCTCACTGCAACCTCTGCCTCCGGGGTCAAGCGATTCTCCTGCCTCAGCCTCCCAAGTAGCTGGGATTACAGGCGTCTGCCACCATGCCCGGCTAATTTTTGTATTTTTGGTAGAGATGGGATTTCACTATGTTGGCCAGGCTGGTCTCGAACTCCTGACCTCAAGTGATCTGCCTGCCTCGGCCTCCCAAAGTGCTCGGATTACAAGCGTGAGCCACCATGCCTGGCCTGTTATCCCTCTTGTTCCTATTTTACAGATGAGATATATGAGGCTCAGAACACTTGGGTCACTTGCCTCTGGTCACTCAGCTCTCTAGTATCTGGCAGAACTGGGCTTGGAGGCCCCCCCCCTTTTATTTTCTGTTTTTCTTTTTTTGTCTTTGTTCCTTTTTTTTTTCAACCTACAAAGGCTGTGTTGGCTCATGGGAGTCAGGAAAACTGAATTCAGAGTTGTCTCTGTCACAGACTGACTCTTTGTGATCTTGGACAAACCACAAACTCCTCCTGAACCTCAGTTTCCTCATGTGGAAAGTGAAGAGGTGGTATGGGAATCAATAGCTTTTGAGGCCAACCTATGGAACTTAGAATGTTATTGATTTCTCTGAGTGGCCACGTGTACCCTAGATAAAGTCATCTGCCCAAGAGGCTTGTGGCTGTGTTCCTCTCACCTGCACTCTCTTGTTCTTCAAGTCTGGCCCTGCCTGCCTTATTTTTCCATGACCCCGTTCTAGCCTACAAGGGCAAGAACTCTCCAGGCCTTGGGGTAGAAAAGGGAATTTCCCTGGTCCCCCAGCTCCTCCTCCCCAAAGGATGTTCTGTGATTCAGAGCTCTTCTCTGGCATCTCTGACCTAGCTGCTGCTTTCTTCTGCCCCCACAGCTGACCAGGTGTATGGAGACCAGGACATGCATGAGGTTGTGCGAAAGCATTGCATGGACTATCTGGTGAGAAAATGGGGGAGGCCTTTGGGGGAGGGGCAGGGTGGGAGGATTCCTTCTCCACATAGACCTTAACCTTCCAATCTATTCTGTAGATGAAGAATGCCGACTACTTCTCCAACTATGTCACAGAGGACTTTACCACCTACATTAACCGGAAGCGAAAAAACAATTGCCATGGCAACCACATTGAGATGCAGGCCATGGCAGAGATGTACAACCGTCCTGTGGAGGTGTACCAGTATAGCACAGGTACTTCTGCAGTGGGTAGGTGAGGGACTGATGGCACCTCGTTCGAGCCTGCCCTACCTGGCCTGCTGTGGATGCTCCCTCCTTCTCTTTCTCTGCAGAACCCATCAACACATTCCATGGGATACATCAAAACGAGGACGAACCCATTCGTGTCAGCTACCATCGGAATATCCACTATAATTCAGTGGTGAATCCTAACAAGGCCACCATTGGTGTGGGGCTGGGCCTGCCATCATTCAAACCAGGGGTGAGTAGGTCCCTATGCCCAGAATGGCTGCTGGATATAGAGGTCAGAAACCTCTGTTGGAGTCTGTTTTGCCCCTAACTCACAAAAATACCCTGTCTCCTCTCTGGGTCTCCCCTGAGGTCTCACCCTTATAAAAAAAAAATATAGGGAGTTACTCAAGGTGATCTCTCAGGGTTTGTTCTTTGGTCTTGATTTGCCCATCTGAGTTGGCTTACCTATCTTTTGTGCCCATTGAGGGCTGGCATTTTAGGATATGGAGTCCTATTTGGGAGCAGTGAGCCAGGGTCTGCTCTAGGCATCTTGGCATGTATCTTTCTCCCAGGATCATAGTGGTTACAGACAGCCATGGTCACAGGGACATGGGGTACAGGCCTGGCCCCACCACTCACTGGCTGTGTAATCTAGGCAGATTCTATAAGTATTCCAGGCTGGCAGCTTGGCTGATACAGAAAGCACCTCCCACTGGGCCTGGGGCCTAGTAGGTGTTCAGAAGGTGGCAGTGCATTTTCCCAGCACACACTGATAGATTCTCATTTCTTTCTCTCTCTCCCCTCTCCCCTCTCCCCTCTCTGTCATAGTCATCTGCTGAGGATTTTGGTATCTTCTATTCAGGTTTCACTTCTACAAACACAAAGTACTCCTGCTTCATTTTCGGAAACACATACCCTAACACCAACACACCCTCCAACATAGTTCTTTTTTGTTTTGTTTTTAAATAAACTTAATTTTAGAGCAGCTTTAGATTTACAGAATTACTGCAAAGTGGCTGGGCCCGGTGGCTCACGCCTGTAATCCCAGCATTTTGGGAGGCCGAGGCCGGTAGGTCACCTGAGGTCAGGGGTTCAAGACCAGCCTGGCTCACATGGTGAAACCCTGTCTCTACTAAAAATATAAAAATTAGCTGGGCATGGCAGCGGGTGCCTGTAATCCCAGCTACTCAGGAGGCTGAGGCAGGAGAATCGCTTGAACCTGGGAGGTGGAGGTTGCAGTGATCTGAGATTGTGCCACTGCACTCCAGCTTGGGCGACAGAATGAGACTCTCTCAAAAAAAAAAAAAAAAGTTGCAAAGATATTACAGAGTTCCCATGTGCCTCACTATGATTAATGTATTAACATAGTACATTTGTCATAGTTAATGAGCTAATATCGATATATTAACTAAAGACCATACTTGACTCAGATTACCTCAGTTTTTCCCTAATGACCTTTATCTGTTCCAGGATCCCATCCAGGATGCCATATTATATTTAGTTGTTGTGTCCCCTTTATCTCCTCTTGGCTGTGACAGTTTCTCAGAATTTTCTTGTTTTTGTTTTCGATCTGTTTACTGACTCTCGTTTTGCCTTTTCTAGAATGTCATATAATTGGAAATGTACAGTATGTAGCTTTTTCAGACTGGCTTTTTTCACTTAACACTATGCATTTAAGATTCATCTGTGACTTGTCCTGGTTTAATGGCTCATTTTTTTTTTTTTTTGGTGGGCGGGTGGGGAGACAAGGTCTCACTCTGTCACCCAGGCTGGAGTGCAGTGGGGCAATCTAGGCTCACTGTAGCTAGCCTCCACTTCCCAGGCTCAAGCAAGCCTCTCACCTTAGCCTCCCGAGTAGCTGGGAGACTACAGGCACTCGCCACCATGCTTGGCCAGTGGTTTTAAAAAATTTTTTGTAAAAAAAAATGAAAAAAAATTTTTTTGTGGAGACAAGATCTCAGTATATTGCCGAGGCTGGTCTTGAACTCTTGGGCTTAAGTGATCCTCCCGCCTCGGCCTCCCAAAGTGCTGGAATTACAGGCATGAGCCACTGCACCCAGCTTCCTCTTTTTCTTCAAAAATGTCAGTGTTTTGGCCAGGCGCAGTGGCTCACTCCTGTAATCCCAACACTTTGGGAGGCTGAGATGGGAGGACCACCTGAGGTCAGGAGTTTGAGACCAGCCTGGCAAACATGGTGAAACCCTGTTTCTACTAAAAATACAAAAAAGAATTAGCAGGGCATGGTGGCACACGCCTCTAATCTGAGCTACTTGGGAGGCTGAGGCAGGAGAATTACTTGAACCTAGGAGGCAGAGGTTGCAGTGAGCTGAGATTTCACGAACCCTGCACTCCAGCCTGGGCGACAGCGAGACTCTGTCTGAAAGAAAAAATAAAATGAATGTTTTAAGTTTTTGTATTTAATAGACTTAATTGTTTAGAGCAGTTTTAGAATTACAGAACAATTGAGGAGATAATACAGAATTCCCACATATCCTCCTCTTCCCAAACACAGTTCTACTATTATTATTATTATTATTATCTTTTTTTTGAGACGAAGTTTCGCTCTTGTCACCCAGGCTGGAGTGCAATGGCACAATCTTGGCTCATTGTAACCTCTGCCTCCCAGATTCAAGCGATTCTCTTGCCTCAGCCTCCCAAGTAGCTGGGATTACAGGCATCTGCCACCACACCCAGCTAATTTTTGTATTTTTAGTAGAGACAGGGTTTCACCATGTTGAAGGCTGGTCTCAAAACTCTTGACCTCAGGTGATCCGCCCATCTCAGCCTCCCAAAATGCTGGGATTACAGGCGTGAGCCACCGCGTCCAGTTCTGGTATTATTAACAGCTCAGATGATTATGGTACATTTGTTACAATGTGCGAACCAATGTTAATACTTTTTTTTTTTAAAGACAGAGTTTTGCTCTGTTGCCCAGGCTGGAGTGCAGTGACATGATCTCGGTGCACTGCAACCTCCGCCTTCTGGGTTCAAGCAGTTCTTCTGCCTTAGCCTCCTGAGTAGCTGGGATTACAGGTGCCCACCACCACACCTGGCTAATTTTTCTGTTTTTAGTAGAGACAGGGTTTCACCACATTGGCCAGGCTGGTCTGGAACTCCTGACCTCAGGTGATCCAACCATCTCAGCCTTCCGAAGTGCTGGGATTACAGGCGTGAGCCACTGCGCCGAGCCTAATACGTTACTATTAAACGAAGTCTGCATGCCTCCTTAGGCCCCTTTATCTTTGACAGTTTCAGTTTTGTTTTGATGACCTTGATGGTTTTTTAAGGAGTACTGATCAAATATTTTGTAGGAAACATCTCTTTTGAACTTTTTCTCATGTTTAAACTAGGGTTGTGGGACTTAGGGAAGAAGATCACAGAGGTAAAGTGCCATTCTCATTACATCATTTCAAGGGTGTATACAATGAGTGTCATTTATGCCCGTTGGTGTTACCCTTGATCAGCTGGCAGAAGTAGTGTTTGTTAGATTTCTCCGCTTAAGGTTACTCTTTCCTACCTTTTCCATACTGTACTGTGTGGAAGGAAGTCACTCTGTGCAGCCCACACCTAAGAAATGGTTATGACCCATCCCCTTAAGGGTAGAGTATCTGCATAGATTATTTGGAATTCTTCAAGGAGGATCTGTCTCTCATCCTTAACTCATCCTTAATTTGTTAATTTTTCCTGTTATTTATTCATCTCAATACGGGTTTTTTTGTGTGTGTGTGAGACGGAGTTTCTCTCTTGTTGCCCAGGCTGGAGTGCAAGGGCACAATCTCTGCTCACTGCAACCTCTGCCTCCCAAGCAGCTGGGATTATAGGCATGCGCCGCCATGCCCAGCTAATTTTTTGTTTTTTTTAAGACAGAGTCTTGCTCTGTCACCAGGCTGAAGTGCAGTGGCACTATCTCGGCTCACTGCAACCTCCACTCCCTGGTTCAAGCGATTCTCCTGTCTCAGCCTCCCGAGTAGCTGGGATTACAGGCATACGCCACCACACCCAGTTAATTTTTGTATTGTTTAATAGAGATGGGGTTTCACCATGTTGGTTAGGCTGAAGTCTTGAACTCCTGACCTCAGGTGTTCCACCCTCCTCGGTCTCCCAAAGTGCAGGGATTATAGGTGTGAGCCACTGCGCGCGGCTGAAACAGCCATTTCTCTAAAGAGCCCTGGAACGTATTGGAGAATGTTAACAGAAGCCAAGACTTAGGTGTTGAATGTGCTCTTTGATATCAGGTTGTCCATGCTTCTAGGCCCTCTCAGACGATAGAACAAGGAGCTATATGTGTGTATAGTGGCCTGTGTACACATATCTATAAATATTTCTACGTGTAACCATGTTTATTTATATTAAACATGAATCCTTACTGATGTCTCCAACTCAGATCCATTATCACATGCTTCATTCTAGCCTTCTCCCCTTGTTGATCTGCAAATTCCCGCTCCAACAGTAGATATGCTATCGGATGTATATGCAGTGGCTCCTACCACCCGTTTATGTAACTGCTCACTTCTATATACACATGTAGCAGAATCAGACTTGTTCACCTGTACCCCCGTGGGAAACAACTGTATCACTACAGCACAATGCTACATATAGTTCTTTTTTGCTTTTGGTGTTACAGACTCCATTCATTTTGAAAGTGACCTATTTGTACCCCCACCCCCTTCAAATGAGGTTGTTTCTTTTTTTTTTTTGAGATGGAATCTCGCTCTGTCACCCAGGCTGGAGTGCAGTGGCGTGATCTCCGCTCACAGCAAGCTCCGCCTCCCGGGTTCACACCATTCTCCTGCCTCAGCCTCCCGAGTAGCTGGGACTGCAGGCGCCCACCACCACACCTGGCTAATGTTTTGTATTTTTAGTAGAGATGGGGTTTCACTGTGTTAGGCAGGATGGTCTCAGTCTACTGACCTTGTGATCCACCTGCCTCAGCCTCCCAAAGTGCTGGGATTTCAGACGTGGGCCACCGTGCCCGGCCAAGCTTGTTTCATATGTTTGTAATACATTTATATTATTTTGTCACATTTTTGCATTCTATGCTGGGATCTCAGATTTCCTAATTATTTATTTATTTATTTTTGAGACAGAGTCTCACTCTGTCGCCCAGGCTGGAGTGCAGTGGTACAATGATCTCAGCTCACTGCAACCTCTACCTCCTGGGTTAAAGCAATTGTCATGCCTCAGCCTCCGGAGTAGCTGGAATTACAGGCATGCACTACCACGCCTGGCTAATGTTTGTATTTTTAGTAGAGACAGAGTTTCATCATGTTGCTCAGGCTGGTCTCGAACTCCTGACCTCAGGTGATATGCCCGTCTCGGCCTCCCAAAGTGCTGGGATTACAGGCGTGAGCCACTGCACCGGCCATAGATCTTCTAATTTTTATTTTATTTTATTTATTTATTTATTTATTTTATTTTATGTTTGAGACAGAGTCTTGCTTTGTCACCCAGGCTGGAGTACAGTGGTGCGATCTTGGCTCACTGCAACCTCAACCTCCCTGGTTCAAGCAGTTCTCCTGCCTCGGCCTCCCGAGTAGCTGGGATTACAGGCACATGCCACCATGCCCGGCTAATTTTTGTATTTTTAGTAGAGACAGGGTTTCACCATATTGGCCAGTCTGGTCTCAAACTCCTGACCTCAGGTGATCCACCCGCCTTGGCCTCCCAAAGTTCTGGGATTACAGGCATGAGCCACCGTGCCCAACCTTCCTAATTTTCTTTTAAATAGCATATATTAAGGTCCACTCTTTGTGTTATACATTCTATGGGTTTTGACAAATATATAATGTCATGTATCTACCATTACAGTATTATTCAGAATAGTTTGACCACCCTTAAAATTCCTCATATTCCATATGTATGCTTACCCCTCCCTTCCTCCCTCTTCCTGCAAACACTAATCTATTATCTTTGTGGGTTTGCCTTTTTCAGAATGTCATATAATTGTAATAATACAGTATGTAGCCTTATGTAGCCTTTTCAAACTGCTTTTTTTTTTTTTTTTTAAGACTGTACCACTGTTGCCCAGGCTGGAGTGCAGTGGCGCAATATCACTGCAGCCTTGACCTTCTGGGTTTAAGCAATCCTCCCACCTCAGCCTCCCGAGTAGCTGGTACCACAGGTACACACCACCACGCCTGGCTAACTTTTAAAAATATTTTTATTTTGTAGAGACAGGGTCTCACTGTGTTGCTCAGGCCGATCTCAAATTCCTGAGGACAAGTGGTCCTCCAGCCTTGGCCTCTCAAAGTGCTGGTATTGCAGGGGTGAGCATCCTGCAGCCAAGTTGCTTTTTTGGCCCTGAAATTAAAATGGTCAATGTGACAGACTGCTTCTTATCACTTAGCATTATGCATTAAGGTTTCTCCATGTTCTTTCATGGCTTGTTAGCTGGTTTCTTTCTTATCTATCACTTAATGTTCCTTTTATGGAGGTACCAGTTTAATTATTCACCTATTAAAAGACATTCTTGGTTGCTTCCAGTTTTTGATGATTATGAATAAAGCTTCTGTAACGTGCATGCAGGTTTTTTTATGGACATAAGTTTTTAGATCAGTTGTATACATACCTGGGAGCAAGATTGCTGGATTGCGTTGTAAGATTATGTTTTGATTTTTGAGGAACTGAGAAACTGTCTTCCAAAGTGGCTGTATTATTTGCATGCCCAGCATAACGATTTGGAAGTTCCTGTTGCTCAGCATTACCAGCAATTGATACTATCATTATGTTGGATTTTAGCCATTCTCTTAGGTGTATAGTGGTATCTCATTATTTTAACTTGCAATTGCCTATTGGCAAATGCTGTTGAGCATCTTTTCATATGCTTATTTGCCATCTGTATATCTTCTTTGGTGAATTGTGTTTGTGACTTCCTGGCATACAATTCCTAAAATCCTTAGAATCTCCAAAGTGATGCCTTTTTGTATGCTAAAGAGGTGACTGATGGCTGGCAGCCTCTAGGTAGCTTCAGGATGGGGGCTGGTGACCTGAAAGACCAAGGCAGGATTAGAGGTTTGAGACTTTAAGCCCATCCCCCAGCCTTTGGGGAGGGGAGAGAGGCTGAAGATTAGGTTGATCACCAATGTCCAATGGCTTAATCAATAATGCCTACATAATGAAGCTTCCAAAGAATCCCGAAAGGATTGGGTTCTGGGAGCTTCTGGGTAGCTGAATACATGGAAGTTTCTAGAGGGTCGCACCCCAGGGAGGGCATGGAGGCTCTACATCCCTTCCCCCATATGTTACTCTGTGCATCTCATCTGTATCCTTTGTAATTTTCTCTATAATAAACTGGCAGACGTGTTTCCTGGGTTTTGTGAGCTGCTCCAAGCAAGTTAATTGAACCCCCCAAAAAGTATTGTAGGAATCTCAATTTATAGCTGGTCAGTCAGAAATTCTGGAGGCCCAGACTTTCGATTGGTGTTCGAAGGGGAATGGGGGTAGTCTTGTGAGACTGAGCCCTCAACCTGTGGGATCCCAGACTGTCTCTAGGTATTGAATTGCATTGGAGGAGGGACACCAGGTGTCCGCTGCTAGCTGCTTGCTGTGTGGGAAAACACCCTCCCCCCAGCCCGCACATTTGGTCACAGAAGTCTCCTGTGTTGATTGTTGTTGAGTGAGCGAGTAGAAAAAACACTTGGAGTGTGTTTAACACTGCCAGAGTGGTTAGATTTTTTAACTTTTTTTTAAATTAGCTTATTCTAACATAGTTTTACGTTTTTTTTTAACTATTCAGAGTAAAAAATTACATTTTATCTGAATGTAAGGTCTGCAGGAAAAAGAAAAGAATACATTTTACATGATTACTTAACATATATGCATTTGTGTGTGATGTATATATGTGCATTAAAATAATGTTAACTAAAGCTTCATGAAACAATATTTGCACTTATTCCCTGGGATATACTCTGATATTTTCTATTTTTAAAAAATACTGTTGGATCTCATAGCCGGAAAAACAGTACTCTGATGTAGTGTCCTGTAACTCATAGCACCCCACACCATCCATGTTGATAACTGCCCCCTTATTCCCTCACACACCCACTGCTTCCCCTAACCCCTCACATGCTTAAATACTCCCACCCTGTGCTCATATAGCTAATTTTTCTATGTGTCTCATCTGCTCATGTGTGAGAAAGGCCTCAACATTATGAAACAGTCATCGCTGGATGGGGCTTCTTTAAATTAAGGCCCAGAGCCAGGCGCGGTGACTCACGCATGTAATCCCAGCACTTTGGGAGGCCGAGGCGGGTGGATCACCTGAGGTCAGGAGTTCAAGACCAGCCTGGCCAACATGGTGAAACCCCGTCTCTACTAAAAATACAAAAAAATTAGCCATGGGTGGTGGTGCTCACCTGTAATCCCTAGCTACTTGGGAGGCTGAGGCTGGAGAATCACTTGAACCTGGGAGGCGGAGGTTGCAGTGAGCCGAGATCACGCCACTGTACTCCAGTCTGGGTGACAGAGCGAGACTTCGTCTCAAAAAAAAAAATCAAAAGCCCAGGTTGGAAGACACCTGACTGCCCCAGTCTCAGTGCCTCAGTTGAGGTGGTTTGGGGGTTGGAGTCAGGTCTTCCAAGCATAGGAGTTTGGAATGACAGGTTCCACATCCCAAGCCTGCTTTCCCGTGGTCCCCAATCATGACGTAGTCTGCGGAGGGTTGCTCTGTGGGAGTACCTGCTTTCCTGTCTCCTTTTTTTCTGGTGCCCCGGGACCTACCTCGCTGAGCCTGTTCTGGCTCTTGGGCAGGTTCAGTGTGTTATTGCACATCCCTATTCCTCTCCCTCCTTGCAGTTTGCAGAGCAGTCTCTGATGAAGAATGCCATAAAAACATCGGAGGAGTCATGGATCGAACAGCAGATGCTAGAAGACAAGAAACGAGCCACGGACTGGGAGGCCACAAATGAGGCCATTGAGGAGCAGGTGGCTCGGGAATCCTACCTGCAGTGGTTGCGGGATCAGGAGAAACAGGCCCGCCAGGTCCGCGGCCCCAGCCAGGTGGGTTATGGACTCTGTCACAGGCTTGGCCAAGAATCCATTACTTCTCATGATTTGCCCTCAAGTGAGCAGAAAAAAATTAAGCAGTTTTGACATCTGGGAGGGAAGGGAGCATCCAGCACCATCTAACTCATCTTGGTCTTAGTTTTGGCATTATACCTTGGAACTTTAAATACTTGTGCAGAACAGGCACTTAAGGAGTGAGAGGAGGGCAGCCATGCTGCTGGTGACACTAGGGAATAATGGATAGCTTCAGAGACACAAGCTTTCGTTGACTGCCCTTGTGTGCCAGGTCTCTACTGAGAATGTAACATCAGATCTGGACTACTCTGCCCTCAGCGATCTCATTTGTTGGGGGTGACAACTCATTGGTGGGGTCCTTGACCCTGGCTAGGAGATCAGTGGAGGTGGGGGCTCTGGTTAGTCTTCACAGAGGAAGGCTGAACTGTTAGGGAATCGGGGAGGGGCAGGGCAGACAAGTATCTGAGGAATTGTAAAATCACAAGGAGTTTGGAGTGATTGTAGATGTTGGCTGGCAGGAGCTGAGTTTTATTCCACAAATACTGCCAGTCTGTGCCAGGCCCTGTTTTCAGTATATGGTGATACATAGGTGAGCCCAGCAGACCAAGATCCCCGTCCTTGTGATGCTCACAGTTTTGCAGAGTGAAACAAAATAAACAATAAACATAATGAATAAACTAGTTGGGAAATGCTGTGGATGGAAAGTGTAGAGCCAGGATAAAGGGGCCAAGCAGGGATGTGAGTTCACAGTATGAAATAGCACAGTCAGGGTAGGCCTCAGAGCAGGTGAGATTTGAGCCTTGAAGAAGGTGAGAGTTAGCTGAGTGCACATGGAGGGTAGGGCAGCAGGCCCACACACCTGGTGTGACTCAGGAACAGCCCAGAGGGAGGCCAGTGCATCCGAACAGAATGTAGAAGTAGATGAAGTCAGAGAGGTTGTGGGTCCGATTGGGTAGGGGCTTGTGGGCTGTGGCGAGGACTTTGACTTTTACTCTGAGCGAGGCAGAAACCATGGGAGGATTGTGAGCAGAGGACAGACAGGATGTGGTTGGGGATTTAACAAGATTGCCTTGCCTGCTAGTCATCCAGTGGAGTCTCGTGAGTGAGGGCAGAAGCAGGGGCCAGTGAGGAGGAGGCTTCTGCAGCAGGCCAGGCGACTGGTGGCCGCTGCTGGCGGTAGAGGTGGTGAGAAGGGGTTGGATTTGGGATCTATTTTCAAGATAGAGGTAACAGGGTTTCCTGTCAGATTGACTGTAGGGGTGTGAGAGAAAGGGTAGGGAGCTCCACCTCTGTCCTGTGAGGAGCCTTGTGGTCCACCGTGTGAGTTGGGATGATGTTGACCTATGTAGAAGCTGTATCATAGCCAAGGTCCTGGGAAGGGAGCCAGCATTCAGGGATGGGTCACAGGAAGGTCATGGTTGCTGGTGGTCCTTAACGCATTTTCCTTCCCCACTGCAGCCCCGGAAAGCCAGCGCCACATGCAGTTCGGCCACAGCAGCAGCCTCCAGTGGCCTGGAGGAGTGGACTAGCCGGTCCCCACGGCAGCGGAGTTCAGCCTCATCACCTGAGCATCCTGAGCTGCATGCTGAATTGGGCATCAAGCCCCCTTCCCCAGGCACTGTTTTAGCTCTTGCCAAACCTCCTTCGCCCTGTGCGCCAGGTCAGTGACTTGCCCACAGGGAATGTGCTGGGAGTTAGGAGGCACTGCCTGGGTCCTGGGTCCCTACCTTTGACTGTCCGTCTGCTTCAGGTACAAGCAGTCAGTTCTCGGCAGGGGCCGACCGGGCAACTTCCCCCCTTGTGTCCCTCTACCCTGCTTTGGAGTGCCGGGCCCTCATTCAGCAGATGTCCCCCTCTGCCTTTGGTAAGCCTCCTTTGTCTGGGGGGATGGAGGCTGCTAGGAGCTGGGCGAGACTGGAAGAAGTGGCAAGTCCTGAGAGGGGGTTTCTGGAGCCTCTGGCCATCTCTCCAAGAAGACAAGGGAGAGGCACTGGAGGGGATTTTTCTGACCCAAAGAATTTGCCCCAGAAGGGTCTGGGGTCTAAGTGGGGTTTCACAGGCCTAGCAGATCCTTCTGTTTGAGAAGGGAGTGAGAAGGGCCCTATGGGATTTCTCCAGAGCCCCAGACGTCGGCACAGGGTGAGAAGAAGGCAGGCTGAGAGCGCTCCATCATCCTTTTCCTCTTCCTCTCGCCCAGCAGGTCTGAATGACTGGGATGATGATGAGATCCTAGCGTCGGTGCTGGCAGTGTCCCAACAGGAATACCTAGACAGTATGAAGAAAAATAAAGTGCACAGAGACCCGCCCCCAGACAAGAGTTGATGGAGACCCAGGGATTGGACACCATCTCCCAACCCCAGTACTCCTGCTCTCCGGTGCCACCTCACCTTCTTTGGCTTCTTCCCTCTTGCCTCCTTCTGTTCTTTCTGCTCTCCCCCCTTTTCCCTCCTCACTTCTCTCTGGCTAGCCCACCCCTGCGCTCCCTCTCATTGCCGCTGCCACTATCACCTGTCTCTCTGCCAGCTGACGTGCCCTGTTGCCCCCCCAACCCCACACAGAACCATCCCTGCATTCCACAGGGGACTCGGGCAAGGGTGCCGAAGATAGACGAGAGGCACACAGAGACAGACCAACTGGCAGCCAGGCAGCCCCAGAGGAGAGAGACATTCAGACAGAGGAAAGTCTCCCTGCCCCTCATTCCTTCCAAGATGAGAAAAACTTGCCTTCCCCCCCCCCACCCACACTCATGCCAGGGAGGTGGGAGGAAGAAGTGGGAAATTTCCCTTCCCAGTACCCCAAGAACGTCTGAGCCTTCAATGTTGAATTTTTTCTTTATTAAAATGTACTTTTATCTTATAAAATCAACTAATCAAAAATGATATAGACGACAGCAGTGGCTCTGTGAAGGTGGCATCTCTCTGGGCAGGCAGGCCATGGGGCATGGAGGAGGGCACAAAGATGTGGGTTGCTGTCTTCTGGCCTCCAGCTGCATGGAGGCCGGCCCAGGGTCTAGGGTGTGCACTGGGCAAGGGCAGGGCAGGGCGGCAGGTGTCAGGTCGGCTTGGACAATGAAACCCTGACCTTGCTGCATTCCTTTTGCTTCCACCACCACTAGCCTCTTTGGAATCTTGGGGTGGGGGGCATCTTTGGGGATTATGGCTGCCACCCGGGATTTGAGTTATAAGGAGTGTGGGAGCAGCTTTGGCAGATGGGGCACCCGTGCCCTGCAGGTGTTGACAAAATCCACCATCTGTAATGTCCTTGGCACAATAAAACCAAATGTCAGTTTCCCTGAGCAGCTCTGTTCTGTGTGGGGCAGGGGTTGGGCGGGCCTCTGGGCAGAGGAGGCAATGGCATGGACCTTGGCTTGACCTCAGAGGTGTGAGTGCTCTCCAGCAGGGTCTGTCTGGGGGCCTGGTGTTTGTATTTGATTTGCTGCTTATTAAACCTCCTTCTGGACCTATTACCACTGGAAAAGCTGCGTCTTTGCCTGCTGACCCCACCCCTGCCTACCCTATTTCCTGGGGGTGTGATGGTAGCAGAGGACTGTGAGCTTGAACTTCCTGCCTGAATTCCAGCTTCTTTGCCTGCCTCTCACCATGAATGTTGCTCTTTCCTTATCATGATCTGATGAAGAAAAACCTTGGAAAAGTACAACTAATACTTTGTAGCGACATGAGTTTAGTGGAAGTAACCAGAGGGGCCTCTCCCACTAGGTTTTAGAAGGTGAAGGATGGCTAAACCCTTTTTCTTGTCCCCCAGTCTGACACCTCTTTCCCTGCCCTTCCTAGGGGTAAATCCAAGGTAAAGAAGGCTGGCTAGCCCCCAGGTTTTCTCAAGCATCTTTTTCACCATGCCATGATAATGGAGACCCTCTGGCTGGATGTGTGTCTGGCTCTGCAGTTGAGGGCATGGCTAGCTGAGTGGCTGGCTGTGGGGTGTCTCTGGAACCCAGTGGCCAAGCATCTATTTGTTGTAGAGTTGCTTTGAAACCTTGCCTGGCATTTTCTAGCTGTGTGGCCCTGGTCAATTCATAGCTTCTCTGAGTTTCAAGTGTCTCATCTGTACAAGAGGTGATTCGGCTGGGCGCAGTGACTCACACCTGTAATCCCAGCACTTTGAGAGGCTGAGGTGGGTGAATCACCTGAGATCAGGAGTTCGAGACCAGCCTGGTCAACATGGAGAAACTCCATCTCTACTAAAAATACAAAAATTAGCTGGGTGGGTTGTACGTGCCTGTAATCCTAGCTACTTGGGAGGCTGAGGCATGAGAATCACTTGAACCTGGGAGGTGGAGGTTGCGGTGAGCCGAGATTGCGCCACTGCACTCCAGTCTGGGCGACAGAGCGAGACTCCGTCTTAAAAAAAAAAAAAAATCTACTCCCTCATGCTGTCTGCTTGTGATCATCTAGAGGGAATATGTATGATCAAAGTAATGTACTACTGGGCACAGTGCCTGGCACATTGAGAGCACAAATGTTAGTAGTACTATCCTTTTTGTAGAAGTTCTGCACCGTTTGGCCCCTGCCAATCTCTCGCCGCTCTATCCAGTATTCTTGGCTTTTGCCTGCAATTTGCCCTCCCCTGTCCTGAGCCATCAACTTTGTCTTTCAAGACAGGTAGAGGGTCACCTGCTGAAAAGCCCATTCACATTCTCACTTCTATCTAAAAATCTCCCCAGTAACTGTACTACAGATAAACTTCATGGCACAGGTTTGATGCCTGACTTATCTGTACATCTCTAATAGCAACATCCCCATCAAGGCCTGGCAGGCTTCTAGCAAACCAACCCCTAATAATGTTGGGTGAACAAAGGAGAATACATGTATGCTTTTTTGGTGGTGTCTGTGTGTGTGTGTGACTGTGGTGAGTCCAAGTCTTCATGTGCAGCTCACAGTGTCTCCAGTTGTGTGTGTGATGAGGGCTTGTTTCCAGGTGTGTCAGATGGTGACTGAGTGTGGGACTCACTCTGACAGTTTGTGTCTAAATCCAAGATGAGTGCATGCCTGCGTGGGTCTGTGACAGTGCATCTGTGGTTTCTGTCTGATGGGGTGGATGTCCGTTTGTGTTCCTGCAACAGATTCTGGGTAGCTATTTCTGGACAGTTTGTTCCATTGATAAGCTGCATGTGTCATGGTGTATGTGTGTCTGTGTCTGAACAGGTCTATCCATGTCTGCTTTTGTGACACTGCCACAAATGTGACTCTATCACATCAGTACATGTCTGCCTTCAGAGCAGTGCATGTGTGTTCCTGGAGCATCTGTGTATCTTCTGTGACAGACTCTGCGTCTCTCATTTCTGGGACAGTACAAGTCTTGCTGTGACAGTGCATGTCTGATGGTGACAGTGTGTTTGTGACAGGTTCTGCCAGTGTGTTTGACGGGACATTTCTGTGTTATCACATGGCAAATGTAGGTCTGCGTGAGTGCCTTTCTGTAACAGTGTATCTCTGGGTGTCATTCTAGGACATAACTATTTTTCTGACAGTGTGCCTGCCTGAAAGTGTATGTCAGTCTCTGGCTGCATGTGTATCTAGGTCGTTTCTGTGAATGTGTCTGACAGTATGTGTTTGTGTATATCCTGGCATTCATGTTGTCTTTGGAGTGCATTTTTCTTCCTGGGGTGTGGCGCCTTCTCTGGCTGTTTTTCACAAATTTGTGTCAGGGTTGCCACTTGTCTAGCAGCCTCTGTCATGTTTCTCAGTCCTTGCCTCTCTCAACTCCAAGTGCAGCCCATGCCACCACCACTCTGGGCTCACCCCCATCCCCCAAGAACCACCCTCTGCTGTTCTAGATTCTAGACCTGCTGACTGGGCCCAGGGCTCAGGGTTAAAAGCTCCAATAAACACTCCCCAGGCAATGCTGCCTTTGACCAATGCGCACCCGTGGCGTTGATGGTGTGGGTTCCCCCTCCCTGGCTACCAGATATTTCCAGGGCCCTGGCCTCAGCTTTCCAGTGAAGGCCGCCTGGAAGACTCCGGTGAAGGCGTCCGACAAGCACCTTTCGAGACGGGGTCCTGGATAGATTCTTAGAAGCCCGGCCTGGCGCTATCTCTGTGCTAATATCCAGGCAGCGGCGGCAAACCAACTTCCCAGGAAAGGATACTGCGCAGTTATTTTTTAAGTGTAAATACACACACCGACACCACTACCAACAACAACCCCGCGCAACAACCAAAACAAGCGCGGTGCCGCAAAGGGATTCCCAGAACCGGTTTCCTCTTGGTGTGAGCCCCACCTCAAGCCCCCTCATTTACATGCAGGCCCCGCCTCCTCGGAAGAACCGAGCGTGTATTTGCATAAGGGGGCCCTTGAAACGATGAGGGTGGTATGCAAATAAGGAGTGGCTCCGATTGGCTGTGGTACAGCAGGTGCCGCGTCCGGATTGATCAAAGCCAGGTGGGCGGGGCTGTCGCCCAGGGTGACTCTCCCGGGAGGCGCGTGCCCAGGCTCAGTAGCATTGGGGCTGGCGCGCGCGGCGAATCTTAACGCTGCGCCGTCTGCGGGCGCTTCCGGACCACCAGTTTCTCTGCCTTCCACCCTGGCGCCCCCCAGCCCTGGCTCCCCAGCTGCGCTGCCCCGGGCGTCCACGCCCTGCGGGCTTAGCGGATTCAGTGGACTCAATCTGCGCAGCGCCACCTCCATGTTGACTAAGCCTCTGCAGGGGCCTCCTGCGCCCCCCGTGACCCCCACGCCGCCGCCAGGTGAGCACATCCTCCCCTGCTACAACCAGACGGGGTGGGCTGGAATGATGGGTTGCAGCGCGGGGGGAGGGAGTCGTGGCTGGGCTGAGCACGCTACCACCCTGACTTCCTCGCCTCCGCCTGCGTAGGAGGCAAGGATCGGGAAGCGTTCGAGGCCGAGTACCGACTCGGCCCCCTCCTGGGTAAGGGGGGCTTTGGCACCGTCTTCGCAGGACACCGCCTCACAGATCGACTCCAGGTATCCGTCACAAGGGTCTTGGGAGGGTCAGGTGCGTGTGGCGGGGGCGGGGATCCTGGGCCTGGAATGCTGGTTGACCGAGGAGTGAGCCTGCAGAGTGTGTAGAGGACCGGGGGTGTGTGTGTGTGTGTGTGTCCGAGGAGTGAGCCTGCAGTGTGTGTAGAGGGCCAGGTGTGTGTGTCCATGTGCGCGCGTGTGTGTCGGTCTAGGGGGTTGTGTTGGGGGTGAGGGGACAGGGGGCTTCAGATTCCGGAGGTCCTCGACCCCAGGGTCCAGGCTGCGTATGTGTGGGAAAGCGGGGACCTAGATGTGAGATTTATGGGACTTTTGGAGGTAGGTGTCCAGTGTGAAGTCATACGGACCAGGACCCTGGTACAGAGTTGGGGTGTCGTAGAGCTAAATAGGAAGATTGTGGGCCTGGGGTATCAGGAAATCTAGAACTCAGGACTTGGAGTGATGAGTCCTGGTGCCTGAGAACGGAGAGCCCAGGGCTCAGGAAGGTGAGAGAGATGAACCTGGTTCCGAGGACTTGTAGGGCAGTGGAGACGCCCTGGTATGAGTTGTGTGGGGTGGTGTGGTTGGGGATCAGAAAGACTAGACTGCTGGTAGATGGAGGAATACTGGAGGTAGGCAGAAGGTCTAGACTGGGAGGGGTCTGGGGATCACTGGCTGGCCTCCTTACCATGCCCCTCTCTTCTCCAGGTGGCCATCAAAGTGATTCCCCGGAATCGTGTGCTGGGCTGGTCCCCCTTGGTGAGTACCTTCGGAGCCCTTCCTGACCTACCTATTCCATCACTGATAATGAATTCACCTCCTTGCTTTTCCAGGGGATGTATGACTCCCTGGGCCCTGTAACAGTGAGAACACTCCTGCCAGCCCATGTATACTCCCTTGGGGTGACATACAGTTCTGATTCACCCCAATTCCCCTAGAGCCCTGGATTCTCCCCTCCAACAATCCTTTCCCATCCTCCCTCCAAACACTGCTGGGGGACTGCCCGCAGGGCATGCTGGTGGGGAACGAGGGGCAGAGGTCACTGGTTGCCATGGTGATGGTGGCTGCTTCTCTCCTGCCGTTATAGCGCTAACCGACATCAGGGCGGGTCTGGGCAAGTTGTAGAGTTGGGAGCGCCCCCTGGCGGACTCTAGAGGAAATTGCGCCTGCGCAATATCGGAATTTTTGCGTCTCGGCGAGAAAACGTCTGCTGCTGTGCAAGTCAGCAGCCTGGCCAGGAGAGGGCTCTACCTCAGCCCAGAAGGTTGCTGGTCGAAGTGTTCCTGCGCAGGGCGTGGGGAGGCGGTTGGGGGGCGGATTTTGTGGCCAGTAGCGTTTATACTTTATTTTTCTTTATTT